ATTTTCTAGAGAGCTTCTATTTCATGCTAGTTTAAATAATTACCTGGAGGGTCTGAGTTCAGGGACAAGGATGAACGTGAACTTGACAGAAGCTATCAACAAGCTAGCACCTTGCACCTGAGTAGAGGATCACAGAGGCAGGGGTTCCTGCTTGTGGGCCCCTAGGATTAGGCTCCTTCCATATAACAAATGCCCACACTGACCAATCTGTGCCTCAAGCACCTGCCTTTGCCACTTGGTAGAGAGCAGGACTCATCTACTCCCTGTCACTGCACACGGGCAGCTCTGGAACCATCTTTTGCCTTCCTCTCCCCACATGAAATGACAGCATAGCCCCCACCAGGTGAGGTGGGGTATCAGGCTCCACCAGGGCTCAGGTCCTGTCTACCAAGCCATCCTAGCTCGTCACGAAGGAGCCTTTTCTGCTTACATCTCAGAATCTCAGTTCCTCATCTGTAAAATGGGACTATTAATATACGGTAGGCTTTTGATATCTAGTTTTATTATATATCATTATTCCATATTATTTATTACAATAGGCCAACATCATTAGTGGATCTTTTAAACCATTTCTACATTACCTTTGTTTTTAAACAATGTTCTCTCTCAACATCTAGAATACAGTGAGAACGGCTGTTAGCTTTTTAAGTTAAAAGCACCCTGTGTGTGTCCCTGCCGTCGCTGTGCAGCTGGTGGGTGGGATCCCAGTTTGGTCCCCAGGCTTCTGAGAACCCCTACTTTGGGGGTTCTGAGAACCCCTGCCTGACGGAGCAAGCAAGCCAACGAGCGGGAAGCCGCCCTTCGGAGCTGGGGCCGATGTCACTGTCTGCTTCTAGTGTTGTTCTTAAACGTGATGTCGTCTCAGGCTTCCAAGGCTCTAAAACTCCCTGCCCGCCCTTCCCTGCATACATTAGCTTTAATGTATTCTCTCCTGAATACTCATCATATTAAGGCTCCCGGAAGATACCTTGCTCGAAATAAATTTTATGGGCATACATCCTCGCCCGCATCCCGGTGCATGGGTGGCTGAGAAGAGAAATATAGCCGCATCTTCCCTGGGAGGCAAGGCCAAGTAACAATTAGGTGGGAATGGGCGGCCCTCTGGCCCTGCGAAGAGCGGGAGGGAGCGGCTGCTCCCGGCTGCGCGCCCCGCGCGGGAGAACGGTTCTCTCTGGGTGAATTGCCTCCTCCGGGCAATTCTGAGCAGAATTTAGTTTGTTCCAGCAAAGCCCCTGGGCGGAGCGCTCGGCTGGGCTGGGCGGTGAGGTGCCTGGGGTGAAGGACCGGGGTTTGTGAAGCTCTGCGTCCCAGTGTCCCCAAAACACTTCCCTGAGCGCAGAGGGCTTCTCGCTGGGTCTTTCCTCCCCTTTCCCTGCGGAGGTGCTAAGCCTTCCCCTATTTTCCTGCCCCTGCTGGGTCTCCCAAAGAAACCCCGCCCCGCTTGCCCTTTACGGCGCACTCCTGTCTTGGCTGTGTCCAGATCCTTCAGCTGGGGCTGGCTGGAAGCCCTCCGCGGCTGCTTGGAGGATGTCCCCCTTGATGGTTGCTGGAGAAAGGCAGGATGGGGTTCAGTGGGCACCTACATGGGGGCACACAAGCACCCCTTGCCTCCACAGGTCCTTGTTTAACTACTGTGTGATACAGAAGTTCTTTTTTTTTTTTTTTTAAAGAAAGATTTATTTATTCGTACAGAACTGGGGTACAGGCCAGAGATGTAGAGGGTGAGAGGCTTCACCAGAGACAGAGTGGGGTACAGAACAGGCAGATCGACGAAGTACACTGCTGAGGGGAGCAGCGGGCGGGTCAGGAGAGGTCTGCCGCACCATGTGGTCACCTCCAGGGCAGGCAGGGATCGAACTCATGCGGAAATGGTTTAAGCTTCTTTGTGCTGCGCTTTAACCCGCTGCGCCACCAGGGAGGGCCGATACAGAAGTTCTTAACGAGGGTTCGAGGCTGGGTCGCTAAGTTTCGCTCCATCACAGCACAGCCACATCTAACACCTGGTCACTGCAGGGGTCTAACAGCCAAACAATACACCCGTGTTGTAGGAGTAAACAGAGGGCAGAAAGAGGCAGAGAAATTGGCTCAGTTAAGATTCGAACCCAGCTAGGATTCAAGTCCAGGCTGTCTGGCTCCAGAACCCGTGGTTTTACCCTTTGGGGTAACATCTACCCCCCCCCCAGCCTCCTTTGAAGATATTCTTGCAGTCATCATCATGTACTTACCACTTTGCTGGATACAGTTAGAACTAAATTTCTTTGTCAAGCAGGAAAACGCCAGGAAAAGAAAAAAAAATCTGATATAAGCTGGGACAGGCAGCAAGTGCCCAGACAGCATCTACTTCAGTCAGACACCTGGTAGTTTTTGCAGGGAATTTTGCTTTGAGAATGGTGTCCAAGGGCAAGACTTCTAATGGGTCTGACTTTCACACAAATGTAGCTGCCTGCTAAGGTGTCAAGGTTGGGTCACTAAGTTTTGCTCCATCACAGCACAGTCACATCTAACACCGGGCCACTGCAGTGGTCTAACAGCGACAATCTGTGGTTGGGATTTAATTGGGGTTAAGATTAACACTGTGTCAAGGCTAGTGATGACATTTCTTAAGTGTCCCAGTAGCCTGTCTACAAGTTTTAGATATACGTGCCTTAATACTTGAGAAAAACGTTCTCTTTGTGTGTGTGGATTATGTTCAGTCCCCTCCCCCCTCACCTGCCATTGTACCTCCTTTCACCCCTCTATGCTTTGGGGCTAATTCCCTATGCTTAAAGCTGTATCACAGAAAATGATATCACAGCCAACAAACATGAATGGAGAAACATATGATTCATGAGATTTGATTTTATTGCTTTGGCTGCATTTTGTGGGTGTACAGGAGACTTTAGTGAAAACTGTTTCAAGGTGAGCTGCTTAGGATTTGATCAATTATTTATTCAGTGATACATATCTGTGGAATTAGAACTGTGTTCCAGGCACTGTGCTGGGCAATGACAAAACAAAGTTGAGAAATCCTGCCCCTTGAGGATTCCACCTTCCAACGGGAAAGACAGTGTGTAAAGGAACAATTAAAGTTCTCCCCCTCCCCTTACACTAGAAGTGAAAAGCTCCCCACTCCCCACTTGCCAGCTTTTTTTTTTTTATTTTATTTGTCATCTTCCTCTCTTTTCTCTTAGGAGGGAATATAAGGAAAATTACTAGAGATGCTATTTAAACAACTGTTTACCCAACCATGGAAAATGATCATTTCAAAATGTTGGAACTGGCCCTCCCCGGTGGTGCAGCGGGTTAAAGCACAGCACTAAGAAGCTAAAGCCACTTCCGCATGAGTTCAATCCCCACCCTGGAGGTGATCCACGTGAGGAGCAGACCTCTCCTGACCCACCCACTGCTCCCCTCAGCAGTGTACTTTCGATCTGCCTGTTCTGTTCCCCACTCTGTCTCTGGTGAAGCCTCTCACTGCCCCTGAGCCTCTGGTTTGTACCCCAATTCTGTATGCACAAATAAATAAATCTTTAAAAAAAAGTTGGAACTAATTCAGTGACTTAAAACTCTGTCAACTCCCCTAAAGCAATCCCTGTAGAAGATGGGCTGGCAGAGAAACAAATTTGGAAAGGGAGTCCCAGGACAACAGCAGGGTAGGGCAGTGGTTAAGGTTTAGCTACTGGGCCTCCCTGGTGGTGCGGAGGCTAAAGACACAGCTCTAGGAGCTATCAATCACCTTGACACTTCCATCCCAGGGCAGGGAGGTGACCCATGTGGTGCAGCAGACCTCTCCTGTTTCACTGTTCCTCTCAGCAGTGTGTCTCAGTAGATCGGCCTGTTCTGCTCCCCACTCTGTCTCTGGTGAATCCTCTCACACACACGTTCCCCATTCCCCCACATCTGGCCTACACTCCAGTTCTTGTATGCATAAATAAATAAAATAAATCTTAAAAAAAAGGTTCAGTTACTGATAACAGAATCAACATACACTATTGAAGTGGAAAGTGATCTATTACCAGGAATTGGGTGACTTTCAACACACTAGAGCTAGCTCTGGGCAGTTTCCACTAATAACTCCCAGCCTGGAGGGCTTCATTGTCTCTCTGGTGACTACAAACCTCTGCCATGCTCCCCAGCAGCACAGCGGACCAGTTCTGAATTCAGGTCCCTCCCAAGGGCATTAGATTGGCAGACTCTAAATCATATTCAGAACCCAAGCTGCAAGGGAGTGAGTCTCTAGTTGAAGAGTGGCGTCTAGTTTTCTTTCTTAAGATTTATTTATGCATACAGAACTGGGGTACAGGCCAGAGGTGCAGGTGCCATGAGAGGCTTCACCAGAGACAGAGTGGGGAGCAGAACAGGCAGACTGACAAAGTGCACTGCTGAGGGAAGCAGCAGGTGGGTCAGGAGAGGTCTGCTGTGCCATGTGGATCACCTCTGGGGCAGGGATCGAACTCATGCTGAAGTAGCTTTAGCTTCTTAGTGCTTTGCTTTAACCCGCTGTGCCACCTGGGAGGGCCCTCTAGTTTTCTCTTTTAAGATTCACTTATTTATGTATACAAGAACAGAGGTGAGGGAGGAGAGGAGCCCATGCTGCAGGGCCTGGAATAGCTGGATAGCGCTGTGTGTCTTTAGCCCCTGTGCCACCAGTGAGATCTTCTAGTTTTCTTGTCTGAGTATGAAGACACTTTAGGAGGGCATGTTTATGATTATATGTGGGTCACTAAAATACTGAGATTCTCTCAAAAAACACTGAGATTGTGTCTCCAGGAACAGCTTAAGTCTGGGCTATGGACAATTTTCAGTCCCGGCTTGCCCCCTTGAACCGGACCCTCCATGCAGTGTGCCCCCCCAACCCCCCCCACCCCCACATCTTTATGTGGCAGTCTTGGGAGCTGGGTTATGTTCATTTCCACCACAGGCAGAATGGGAAGACATCCACAGAGGGGGTGGGAGTGGCTTCAACTCGTTAGCAGTGCTGTGCAGAAGGCTCATGCTGCTTGTTTCTCCTCTCCCCACAGAGATCCCCCAGTGTGCTGGCTGCAACCAGCACATCCTGGACAAGTTTATCCTGAAGGTCCTGGACAGACACTGGCACAGCTCCTGCCTCAAGTGTGCAGACTGCCAGATGCAGCTGGCCGACAGGTGCTTCTCCAGGGCTGGGAGCGTCTACTGCAAGGAGGACTTCTTCAAGTAAGTGAGAACTCAGGTGCAGCCTCTGTCTGGGCCCTGGGCTGGCTCTGCCTCCCCCAGAGAAGGGAGGATTGGGGGGGGGGGAGGAGGAGGAGCTACCCTGGAGGACAGAGAATCCTTAAGCTCAGAGCTGCTCTCCAGGGAGGTCCCTTATTGATCACCTACCTACCTCATACCTGAGGCCTAGAATCTTGTCTCCTGGGAACTCCTACAGGAACAGGCCTGAGCCCTCCATCCCCACAAGATAGCTGCAAATCCTAAAAGGATTGGCTCTTTGTGGCCTGCTGGTTGGCGCCTCAGGCCCCCTGGCTGTGTTATTCCAATAGAGTAGGTGAGACTGCTGGCTGAATCTAGGGGCATGGTGGAGTAGGCTGTGCCTGGAAGACTTATTCCTGAGGAAACCTGCCTAAGAAGCAGTTTATGTGTGATTAGTGTTAGATTGATTTTTCACTCTGTGTTGGGACCAATAAAAAAATTCTGTTAGAGTTTTGGGCCAGGATGAGGGGATCTTGTAGAATTTATTTTCTGTGGCATTTAGCCTGGGGCTTTCCCCCCAGAATCTATTACCCCAGGTATCAAGCCCCGTGCCTCAGTGGATTTGGGCCTGCTGGCGCCAGCAAAGCCAAGGACAGGAGTTGGGGTGTCGGTCAGTGACCCTGAGCCCAGTTGGGTGCCCCTGGGATAGGCAGAATGCAGCAGAATGAGAAGGCCGAGAGGTGATGCCCATCTTTCAGAGGCTGTGTGTACTGGGGACCTGGAGGAGAAGTGGGAGAAATACCAGACGTGGGCACAGAGCAGGAGTTCTTCCGATTCTTCCAGGGAGTTTAACTGTGGGAACTAGGGGAGTTGGAGTTCTGAGCTTCTCAATTTTCTTTAGATCTCCATGAGTTGAAAACATGTTGCAGATGGAGATGATCTTTTTTTTTTTTTTAAAGATTTGTTTATTTATCCATACAGAACTGGGGTACAAGGGCGGTGAAAGGATTCACCAGAGACAGAGTGGGGAGCAGAACAGGCAGATTGAGGAAGAGGGGAGCACTGCTGAGGGGAGCAGCGGGCAGGCCAGGAGAGGTCTGCTGCGCCATGTGGGTCACCTCTGGGGTGAGCGGGGATCAAACTCATGCTGAAGTGGCTTTAGCTTCTCAGTGCTGTGCTTTAACCCGCTGCGCCACCAGGGAGGGCCCTGCAGATGATCTTGATTTCAACTGTGGCTGTCGGGAGGCTTATCTGCCTAAGGCAGCAGTCACCATCCCTTTGTACCACTGTCCAGTGTGTACTGGCCCCTCCTGACTGCTGTGTGAGTGGGCATGTGCATGGCGTGTTTCTGAGGCCCGGGGCCAGAGCTACACAGGCAGACACAGAAGCTCTCCAGGGTTCTGGTTGAGGGCCAGGCCTTTGGTTCTTCATCTAAGCCTTGTCTGTGAATGGCTCCCCTTTCTATTCATCTTTCTTTTTTTTGGTCTGCACCTTTTCTGTTTTATTCTGGTATTTTCACAATACCACATCATTTCTCAGAGAGCAACAAGAGGTTGCCTCTCCCTTCCTTCCTCAAGGATGCCCATAGGGGTGGGGGCGAGCTGTCTCTGCTTTCAGAGTTGCCCTTATACCTTTAGGTTAGTTAGCTCCAAGAGTAAAGCAGGAGGCTGGTCACCTTCTTGTCCATCTACCGAGAGTGTGAGTGTGAGACGCCCCTGGCATTCCTAGTGCTCCTGGAAGGTCCAGCCCAGCATGTCAGGCAGCCTTTGGGGTGCAGACAAAGCCCATCAGGGCATGGACCTGGCGCTCTGTCACCAGAGAAGCTCCTTGGAGCCCGAGCATTGCCTGCGACCCTATCTGGCCCTAGGGCTCCAGCTTTGGGAAAGGGAGGTGGCAGCAGCTTGGGAGTAGGCTTGGACTAGGAGAAGCAGTCATAAGGAAAGAGGACCCTTTTAGACCCAGGAAGAGCCTAGAGTGGGCCAGAGGGGTTAGTACAGGCTTCCCAGCCATAAGTCCGAGATTGAAAAATCACAATGAGTTTCTCAGCCAGACAGTGCTCTTGTCCCATACTTCCGTGGCCAGCAAGTGGACTTCCAAGGCCTCGCTTGCCAGTAACTTCCTAAGTGGTGCCTGTACCCCTCTAGCTCACCTGCCTCCCCTCCAGGCCAGCATCCCTCTGCTCCTTCCCAGCTCCTTCAGCAGGGCACGCTGCGCCTAATGATCATGCTGGGTGCACTGGGACCTCACAGAGACTTTTGTGCTCCAAATCTCTTCTCTCCTTGCTCATGCTCTCCTCGCGAACCCCCATGACCCTCACAGGAGATGGCCTCTTCCATCTTCTCCTACCTCCACTACCTCCGGGTCCATGCAATTTCACCCTCCAGAGACAACACGTATCTTCTTCAGGTCTCCCCACGCTTCTTAGTCCAGCCCCTCAGTGATGGGAAACTGGCAGGGGCAGGGTCACTCTGGCCCTCCCTCTACCTGGGAACTCAGCACCACTGCTCATTCCCCATTTACCAGTTTGATTTTCATTGTGGAAAAACTTATTACACATTCATTCTTCTGTTCTCTGCTTATGCACCTGGACTCAAGCCTCATAGACCCTTACAGAATTGGATGCAGGAGAGAGTAAATTACACACCAAAGTTATACTACATATAGGTGACTGGTTTCTTCTGTACCCCACAAGCCACCCCCTGTGACTCCCACAGACAGTGATTCTCCTTATTCCACCAACTGCCCTGCTTCAGAAAAATGATCTGCTTCTATGGTTGCGCAATAGGAACCAAGGGCCGGCCACAGACGCAGTGCTGAATCCAGGTCATTAACTGTGATGGGAGAACTGTGTGCCTAGAAATTTAGAGCTGATGGATGTGACTCCCCACAGCTGATGGAGGGTCAGCTCTGACCCTTCTGGGGAGGACACTTGCATTTGCAGGCACTCAGTCCCCACCCACTTCCTGAGGACCTTGCAGCTTTGGTCAGGAAGGCAGGGGTAGTTTGGCATAGTGAGGCAGGGAGGAACAAGGGGAGGAGCTGTGCAGGGCCAGAGTGGTTTCACTTCCCATTCTCAGGGGTCTTGGGTCCTGCTGCCCACGTGGGGGTCAGGCTATGACTGAGCCACAGAGTCAGGCAGTCTGTCCTTTTCACCACACACCTGCTTTCAGATGACGCATTGGCCACTTGAGCCGGGTCATGGCAAGCAAAGAGAAGTGAGGGGAGCAGAATGGGACAGCGTAGTCGCTGCAGTCCCAGTCTCCCTGCTCTCGTGCTTGTGCTTTGCGAGGGGGTGGCAGCTGCTATGTGCTTAATGCCTCGTGAAACCTCAGAGTGCTCTCAGCTGTGGGATTTGGAAGCTGTCTAACTCTACTCAGAGGTCAGGATCCATCGGCCTCGATGATCAGCACTGCTTCTAAGACCCAGGATCAATATTTTAAATCTCTTTGTCCATAACAAGAGGCGGGGCGCTACTCTGCACATCTGTGGGAGCGTCCTGTACGTATTCCACGTGGTTTTTCCGGTTACGACAGAAAAGTGACGAGCGCCCCCTGGAGGTAGGTCGTATGTCAGCGGCGGTCGGAGGTTAAGGTGCGTCTTTGCCTGTGAGATGTGGCAATACTAGTGACTGGCAGCAGAGGGCGATGTTGGTATGTACACGGCCGAAGAAAGAAGTATTGTTGGAAGGCTGTACTCTGTGGTTGTTGCACAGTAACACTGGATGATTTTTACTTTGTTGTTGTTGGCCTCTTGGGTCCTTGGTTCCCCTTTCTCCAAAGGAAAGAAAGTTTTGAAGCTGGAAAGGAGAGGCATTGACTTGCCTCTGCCCCTTGGTGGAGTCCTGCGGTGGCTTCAGGAGAGCTGCTGCATCACGTAGAGGACATTCCAAGGGCTGTTACAATTTGAATTGCAAGATGAGAGGCCATCAGATCCTTGTAAAGCACTTCCTAAGAGGGTGGCTCCTGGTCTGCACATCCAGCCTGTTGTAGCTTTTGTCTGTTTGCGCAGGAAGCAGGATCTATGGGCAGCAGGGGTCAGGGAGCAGAGCTCCCTCCTGGTCACTGGTTGGGTCCCAGGAGGAGCCTGGAGGCTACCCCTTTACTCTAAAGCACAATGAGGACATTAGCCGGGGTCTCTTGGTTATGGGAACTGGTTCAAGTGCTGACTGTCTCTCACCAGCTGGAGGCCTGAGACATGCTCCCTGCTGTCTCTCTGTCTCAGAGTACTACAGCTCAGGAAAAAAGGGAACAGTAATGGTGCCAGCTTAGACAACCTGAGTCACAACAACATTTCAAAAGGGAGTTATGAGTGGAGTGGTTTGGTGAGCCCCAGTGGAGCTTAGTTGAATTCCTGTCCTGTGTCGCGCTGTCCACAAACAGGTGACGAGGCCTTTCTGAACCTGATCTCCTTATCTGTTAAGAGGACCATGAGTTGCTGCGGCCAGCACGATGCTAGAGCCTCAGTTAAGAGCCTCGTGTCCCTGGTCACTTGACCTGCAGCCCTGGAGGCTGGACCAACAGAGTTCTCCCTCAGGACTCCTGGCCTCTTATCACTGGTCCCCCCAGCTTTGAGAGCTTTTTGAGGTGACCTCTTGATGACCTAGAACAACTCGTGGGGGCAGAATGGGAAGGGCACCAGGCAATGTGCCAGGGATAATCATGCCATGTTGATTTACATGGAGATTTGGGAAATAATCAGTGATTATTATGTGACAACAAATACAGCTATAGGCTCGAAGAGAAGGATACACTCTTACACATATTTAAAATTAAAAAAATAATAATACAACAGTTTATTTTTACACCATTTTGTGCCTTGTTCCATCTCAGTTGTAATGTCCATGGCTTCCCACCACCAAATCACCTGTGTGCCATCACCATAGTCCAGTGCACTTCTCCGTCCCCTCCATTTTTGAACCCATTCCCCACTCCACTCCCGTAAAATGTCTCTGGTTTGTAGCTGTTCATTATTATTATTTTCTCCCTGATTCTTCATACTCCTGCTATGAGTGAAACCATCTGGTA